AATTCACAATAGAGTTAGAAATGATAGTAAATTACCCTTTTTAGATGTATTAGTTAATAAATAAGACAAAAAACTGGGGAGAGGTGTATATATGAAGCTTACGAGTGCGGGGTTCCTTCTTAATTTCTTTTCGAATCATACTTATGGTGTTAAAGTAGGTGTAAGAAGGAGTTGAGTTCTAGCGGAAAGAATTCATCATGAATATGAGTTAGAAAGGCTAAGAAAGATTTTTGTTTATAGCAATTACCCGTTGAAATTAGTTATTAAAAATGTAAAAATACCAAGAAATAGGATGAAATAAAAACACTATTTGGGACAAAACAAGGAATCAGACAACTCAACGAACATATTTCTAATGCTGCCTTCTTGCAGGCTTTCCTCGATCATATGAAGAGAAACTGGGTTTCGAAGAATTCCTTATCTTCGAAGTACGTACGGTTTTCATTCTTTTTAGAATTCGTCCTTATATACAAAAACCAAGAAATCCTTGGCCAGGCAAGTCAATCACATTCGCTCTTTGATAGTTTGCTCTACCTGTCGAATTATACCTAGATTTTGTATTATTTCTACACCTAATTTACTTTGTAATACTAAGACCGATCTTTTGGACGTTTGCCATGATTTAGCTAATATTAGACCAAAGAAAAGCATTGCAAAGTTATATTCTTTAATCAGGACTAAGACTAGACTTAAGCAAATTTTTTCCAATGCTCTTAGTTCGGAAGACTTCCTGAAACTTTAGAGTATAGCAGAGAGTTTACATGATACGATTTTCCGACAGGTTAGGAAGATACATGATAAAAATTAAGAAAGTTTGGTATAAGAATTAGTTCAAGAAAACGACCCACATCTAATGAATTGAAGGTTAAGGATAGCCGTTGCCAAAAAGTCGTAAATCTACCCCGAATTTCATTGTACACTACTACTGAGGAGGTCCTAGAAAAGGGCTGAACTTCAGATTTCCAAATGGCAAGGACCTCAAAGAGGAAATATTGGTTGAATTGATAAGTTTAACGGATAGTTTCCCAGAGGATACGAGCAGTGACATTGAACTACAAATTGTCCCCTTAATTGATGTCCATGTTGAAATACCAAATAAGAATAGGACCATAAAGGCTATAATAAGGAAGCTTAAGGAGAACGAACAACTAGTATTAAGGGCAGACAAAGGAGGAACAGTAATAGTTATGGATAAGACTGATTATGTATAGAAAATGTTAGAGGCATTTGATGATGATACAACATATAAGACTATAATTAGGGAGACGACAGAAGGCCTTAAGGTCAGACTTAAGGGTCTTCTGCAACAATGTGTAAA